GCACAATGTGGTAACCTCTCGTGCTAATGCCTACAAACTCAAGAGTAATTTCACCTCGAAACTTCAAAAATCAACATAAATATGAACTTTCTTAATTTCTTCTATTTCAGTTAGTCCTTCCCCCACGAACGCTCATTCGGAGGTAATGTCCAAGCCATTTCCTACTAAGAATGAACCAAAACATCAAGATAGTTCGTCTAAACGCGCATGGCTTTTGGCCCTTGAAATAGCTACTGGAATTACGGTGGGTCTTGTGTTTATCGTTGCTCTCTTTACTGCCGTTCGAAAGTTTAAGAGGAAACCTTCAAACATCATGAGATGGAAAAAATCCTTGAGTGCAGTTGCAAAGGACAACTTGACGCTTTACATAGGTTCGTTAAATGCTGAAAAATGAATTTAGTTTCTCGTGAAATTAAGCCTTTCAAGGAGAAGACAAGCATTTCAATCAATTGATAATTAGGCTTTGTTTATTACGTATTTGGTTAGCTTATAAACTTCATGTATTCAAATAAGCTTCGTTTGGTAGGACGAGCTTTTTTAAAAAGCCCGAGCTTATCTCATAAGCTTTTTTGGGTAGCTTTTCAAATAAGCTCGTTGAAATTTTTTATTTTTGCTAGCTTATCAGTTAATTTTACCAAACACTTTTATCATATAAGCTAGTTTTTCAGCTATGGGCTCAAAAATCACTTATACTTATCAGCTAATTTTACATATGAACTAAAGCAAAACAAGTTTTTTTACAGATTCCGAATTACTTAAGGACGTGACGAGATACAGCAGAAAAGAACTCGAAGTAGCGTGTGAGGATTTCAGCAACATAATTGGATCATCCCCCGATAGCCTCGTTTATAAAGGCACAACAAAAGGAAGATCTGAAATTGCGGTTATATCCCTTTGCTTGAAAGACGAGCAGTGGACTGGCTACCTCGAGCTTTATTTTCAGAAAGAGGTAATTAATTAATCTTGTGTTGTTGATATAAAATGTTTATTTCTTTGTACACGCACGATCAGCATGAAAAATAAATCCATAAACTCCAGGTGGCTGGTTTGGCGAGACTAAATCACGAGAATGTAGGAAAGTTGCTCGGTTATTGCAGAGAGAGCAGCCCGTTTACTAGGATGCTGGTGTTTGAGTATGCTTCCAACGGGACACTCTACGAGCACCTCCATTGTATGTTTGTTTTTTGTCATTTTTTTTACTATACGAACCACATGATGTAATTGTAATGAACTTCGAAAAAAAAAACTGAAAAAATAGATGGAGAGGCGTGCCAGTTCTCTTGGACACGGCGCATGAAGATTATTGTTGGGATTGCTCGGGGTTTAAGATACCTTCACACGGAACTCGACCCACCTTTTACAATATCCGAGCTGAATTCGAGCTCCATTTATCTTACTGACGATTTTTCTCCCAAGGTGAGCCGAATAGGCGAATATCACTTATCCTTTCATGCAAAAGACACAAACTTTACATGTATAATTGGTCTATTTCGCTGCTGATAAGTGATTTTCGAGTTTATAGCTTATAGCTTATGACTTATAGCTGAAAAACTAGCTTATATGAAAAAAGTGTTTGGTAAAATTAGCTGAAATAAAACTTTCAACGAGCTTATTTGAAAAGCTACCCAAAGAAGCTTATGAGATAAGCTCGAGCTTTTTGAAAAATCTCGTTCTATCAAACGAAGCTTATTTGCTTATTTGGTTACCAAACATAACCTATGTAGTTTTTAGTGTTCATATTTCTTACGAGTGATCACTTTTGAATTCTCCTTTTGCAGCTTGTCGATTTCGAATGCTGGAAAACAATACTTTCAAGATCAGAAAAGAGCTCGGGCGCCTTAAGCAATGAAGGTTCGGTTTGTGTCATCTCGAATTCTCTTGAAGAACGTAATATCGATATCCAAAGCAACACTTACTCGTTCGGCATTCTTTTACTCGAGATCATCAGTGGCCGATTGCCGTTCAGCCAGGAAAAAGGGTGCTTGCTCGATTGGGTCCGTACATTACCAAATTCTCATAACTTTTTTACCTAATAACAGGATTAAAAAAAACGTGTAATTAAGTTTCATTTTGCAGGCCAAGGAATATTTGGATTTACCGGAAGTTATGTCGTATGTGGTGGATCCCGAGCTGAAACATTTCAGGTACGAGGATCTGAAGGTCATATGTGAAGTCGTGGGCCTTTGCGTATATCCAAAAACGAGCACACGAGCATCCATGTGGGACTTGTGCTCCATGCTGGAAAACGGCATAGACACGTCTGTGTCAGCCGATGTTGGGGCGTCCTCGCTGGCTTGGGCTGAGCTGGCGCTTTCGTCGTAAGATACTCTGTAAATAAGAAACTATAAGAAGGTAGCATAAGAAGGTAGCATCGCG